ACCCCGCTCACCCACGCAGCCCACCTGCCCGGGGCCGCACCGTCAGGCGCCGCAGGGCGCGTGTCCCTGCTTCCTTGGGTGGCACTCCTCCCCGCGCCAGCCCTGGCTTCTCGCACCCCGCTCACCCACGCAGCCCACCTGCCCGGGGCCGCACCGTCAGGCGCCGCAGGGCGCGTGTCCCTGCTTCCTTGGGTGGCACTCCTCCCCGCGCCAGCCCTGGCTTCTCGCCTGCTGCACAGGGACGCTGATCAATTAGTGCACAACAAATAATTAAGCTGATGAATGTCTCTTTTTTCCCCGCTCGCTGACTGCAGTTGCCTCGAATTTATGCCCAGAATATGACTGAATTTATTCGTTGCCGTTTGTAGCATTCAAAAGAGGTCTTTAATGATTTCTTTCAAGCTCTCTAGCCTGATTGTGAATAGTGCTGGGCAAATACTCATTATTTCCTATCTAAGCAGCAGCGCTGATTAGTCGGCGGTTGGTCAGATAAGTCACATTGCTCTGTTCCTCTCTCGCTGCAGAAATGCACAAGGTCGTTTGCTGCTAATGCTCAAACGCAAAGGCAAAACGTGGCCTAAGCAAACGCTGCACGGAAGTCTCTTGTGCATTTTCAGGGCAACAAAACAGGAGCGTGCAAAATCTCACATGAAGTAAAAGGGCTCAGAATTAAAGTGAATACGGGCTGACTAATTTTGCTTTCACGCAGCCTGGTTCACAGCATTGTGTGCAGCTGAAAGTGCTTTTGAGAGGGTAGTGGGATTGCAGTGAAATTTAAGTCTTGACAGTTTGTGGACATCAAAGATCTGAAGCCAGCTCTTACTTGACTGTTAACTCCTGAATCTTCACATGATGCAATGTTAATCTTCAGCCCTTTCCTAAAATAATGTGCGGAGTTGCTATGTTCTGTTAAATGTGAACCATGTGTCACCTCAGCAATGGCTGCAACGGTGAAAAGATGATAAATCTAAAGCTTGTAAAATGTCCTGTGACATTTTGGGAGAAAAACAGGTGTTGCATAAATGTTAGACATTTATGGGTAAACTTGCAGGGGCTTTAAAAGACTGACACATCTGCCACATAGTGTGTAACCCTGAAAGAAAAGGAGCAAAGCAGTCTCTTTCATGTGCCTCGCTCTTTCTACAACCGTATGAAAATACATCCTCATCTGGTATTGGAATTAACAGAGCTGGACTCGCCCCTCCCTATGTCTCCTCCAGGTTTTTGGCTTTTACACCCAATGTGTATTTTAAAACTGTGCCTTTTTAAGTAGGTGGCAAACTGTGCTGGAAGGGTTTGGTATGCGGAGTATTTTTATTCAGCTCCCTTTTCTCTCACCTTTCATTGTTTTTCCCTTTGGAATATCTCCTGTAACGCTCCACTCATAAACCTCTTCAAAGGGAGGGCTGTATTTGAACAGCCTTGCCTGAAAATCTGGTCTCAGTCAAAGGCCTCAGACGGGAAAATAACTCGCAGAGCCGAGACCCGCGGCCCCACGGCTGCTGCTGCA